ATGGCTGAGTAGTATTCCATTGTGTATATGTACCACATCTTCTTTATCCATTCATCTACCGATGGACATTTAGGTTGCTTCCAATTCTTGGCTATTGTAAATAGTGCTGCGATAAACATAGGGGTGCATCTGTCTTTCTCAAACTTGATTGCTGCGTTAATGAACTTATTTTTAGCCCCCAGTTTGTGGCGCTCTGTCATGACAGCCCGAGCAGAAGATTGCACCTCACCTGTCACCTCCAAGGCTGCTTTCAGCCTCAGACTCTCATTTTCCAGTTGTTATTGTTCGCCAGTTCCTCTCCAGCTGCCAGTCTCTCCCCACCATCCAGGCCACCCTTCACAATGCCGGATTCATCTTTTGAAAATATAAATCTGATTAGGTCATTCTTCTATGCTTTCACTGTCAGATAGAAACCAAAAATCTTAGCCAAGCATTCAAAATTCTCCTTGCTCTGGTTCCTTCTAGTTCACTGTCTGATTATTTTACTCAGATGCTTCAGCTACATTGAACTAGTTGCTGATACTCACACCTACTTCCTTTCCCACTTCTGTGTTTATGGCCTGTCCCCCTGGTCTTCATCGGGATCAAGTGATACTTCTTGCAAAGAAAAGCCTTCCTCCATTTGTTCCCAGCAAGAATTCTTGGAATTTCTCATTTCTCTGAATTCTTATAGCTCTTTGCCCTTACCTCTCTGAAGACATCTTTCATTTTCTGTCTTGTATTATAATTAATTATAACTCTAGTGCCTCACTTCACTCAGAGGTCAGTAAAATTTCTGAGTAGGGACCATTTCTGAATGCTGGCAATGCTTTACTGTTGAAACATGGTTGAATAAATGATGCCTTGTAAGGAATGATTAAATCAGTGTTGCCCTTCAGCTTTTAGGACATGGTCAGACGATCTCACTTCATCTAACAGCGTGCTCTCCTTTAGTCTCCCTGTTCCAGCCACACTGGCCTTCTTTAAGTTCCTCCTACTTGACAGGCCCCTCGCTGTCCCCAGTGCCTTTGCACATGGAATTCCTTCTCCCTGGAACTCTCATCCCTGCCCAAGCATCCAGTTAATTTCTCCTCCTTGAGAATTCAGCTCAGTCATTTCTTCCCTCATAAAGAGGAAGTTATCTTTCTGACTAGATAAAATTCCCATTGTGTGAATTCTCCTGGTGCCACAAATTCCTGTTGTCTTACCTCTTACCTGCCACTCTCCATAGGTGCTCCTTTCACATTTATGGGCATGCTAATTTGGTTAATGTCCATCTTCCGTATAAAACTGTACCTCCAGGAGGAGAGAGACAGCTGGAAAAGTATCTGCATTAGGTCATTATAGTATGCCTCTCACAGAGTGGGTCCTCAATAAATATATGTGAAGAAAACAAATGAATATTTGACTATATCTGCATGTGTATATATACAAACAGTCTATTAGAATTTTCAGGCAAGCCTAAAGTAGGTAATAATTATAACATCCACCATTTTTTGTTCCTACTATGTGCTAGGCATGGAGCCTAATCCTTTCTGTGTTCTGTCTTATTTAATCCTGAAAATGATGTTATGAGTTAGCAATCATTATCCTGTGTTACAGATGAACAAACAATGACTCAGATAAGTAATTCAGCCTAAGGTCACAGAGTTCTTAAATAGCAAAACTGTGATTGGAAGCCATACTCCAAAGCTTTTATTAAACACCATCCCAGAATTACAAAAGAAAATCAAGCATATGATCCTCTTAAATATGCATGATGAACATAAAAGATTGACCAAATAGTGGTAATCCTTAAAGTCATACTGCTCTCTAAATTGTAGACTTCTCAATGGCAAAACTGTAAATTTTTCAAGGGGTTGTGTCATTCACGACCTAACTACGTAGCACAGGGTCTGGCACGTAGTAGGTGCTTGACATACATTTGTTAAAGAGATTTAAACCTGAAACAAGGTTTGTCACATTGAAGGAAGATAAAACACATATAGCCAGAGCCAAATGTCTGCTTTGGAGAAAGCAAATAAAGGCATAAGAAAGGGAAAAGAAAGAATACAGGGCCCAAAGCATATAGAACACCTACCTACTGTGTGCTATTTTAGATGTTTTTTTATTGTTACTCTAGATGTTACCTCATTTAAGCCTACAATAACACTGACACTATTACATTATTCCTGCTTATAGATGAGAAACCTGATGCTCAGAAAAGGCTTTAAATCCAGGGCTGTGTGGTTCCATGGCCTACACAGTGGCTGACTTCAGTACAGGTAGACATTAGACATGGTGACTGGCAACATCACAGAAAGGTGAGGGCTTTCAGACACAGGTCAGGACCGCTGGAAAGCTCTGGGAGGCTGTGTGACATTGCACAGAAACCTGTTCTACTGACTAACTTGAAAGAAGCCTCGTATGAGCCTTAGGACTCAGCACTTCCATTCTGTTGGTGTTATTTTCCAGTGTCAGCAATTTTTGCATGAAACTGTCTCATAAATCTTTGTCTGAAAATTCTTGAGGAAAAAAAGAATGACTCGCTGAAATGGAAGTGTTGCCAGGCTTCTAATTTCTTCCAGAACAATCAGTCAACCCTCTTAATTTACTTGCTGCAGTGAATGTCCAAAAGCCCAGTCCCTGCCCAGTAATAAACAGAAAGAGTAACAAATAGTTTTTCTGTGAAAATGGCTAAGAATAATGGCCCATGGCATTGAGTTCGGTAATAATGCTGAACTACAAAGTTTTATGAAATGTGGAACAATGAGGAACTCAGCTTCACACTGACTAAAACCAGATCTGGTATAATATTAGATCCTCTACATGCAGGGGGAAAATGGTTCTGGTTGCACACTGAATTATTTCAATGACATGGTACCATCTTCCCGGTCTTGTCTGTTCCACCATTAAAATTAGGTAGCTCCTGGGACTTATTCTCCTCTTACCTAACATTTCTATGTGCACTCCTTCATCTCACTCTTGGAATAACTTTGTGTGGTAGATATGTCAGGTGTGACTATTACCACCATTCTACAGATGAGGACACAGAGTCTGGGACAGCATGGCTTCTCTAAGGGTTCACAGCTAATAGGGACAGAGCACGGACTGGAACCTGGTTTATATCATTCTTATGTGCTCTCCACGACCCCTCACTACCTCTTAATAACCCACCACATGGAGGAATATACTTACTAATAGTTTAGTGACTCTGATGACTTCCTTCTCAATGATCACCATCAAGGCATTACTGAGGAGAAAGTCAGTGAGGACTCCATGAGAGTGCCTAATGGGCTAGAGAGGCCAACCACTGTGGTCCTCAAGCCTGCAACTTAGTCTCCAAAAAGTGTGTGGAACTGAAAGAACCAAAATGAATGTTGCCAAAGTGCTTAGAGCAATGAATGGCATATAGTAAATGGTATCCAAGGAGTGCTTGTTGAATGGAAATATGTACACTTAAGTGCCCAATCAATGCTTTAAGGCTTAATCTCCACCAGGAGGGTAAAGAGTAATAAAATTGGTAATAATAACAATAATGATAATGATTTGTCATATTGGCTGATCACAGCTTTGATCCTCATACAACTGTACAAAATAGATTATTAGTCCCATTTTACAGATTGGAAAACTAACATTAAGCTAGTTGTTGTAGGCTTTACTACCACTAAGCAGACAATTAAGATTTGAAGCTGGGTTGCCCTATTTAAAATTCTTTTTACCCTATAATGCTTCTTTCAGATCTAGTTAATTTAGTCAAGCGGAATCATAATTCAGTCATCAAATATTTTAGCTCCTAACCTTTCCTTTTCCTTAAACTGTCTAGAACTAGTGGTAAGGCATACTGTGACCTCCCTGTGCTAGTTTTAGCATGATTACCTCCGTATTTTGACTGAACTTAAGCAGAGAGAAATGCTAATATTTTTTAAATGAGGAAGTTTTTGCCCTCTTCAGTCTGATTTAATTCCACCAAGTCCCTTTGAACTGCATTGCTCTGAACCAAATTTAATTTTTATACATTTGGAATAAGTGATATGCTCCTAAAAGGAGAAGGAATATGAGGAGCACATGAGATTAAGCTTCATCAGAAAGGACAAATCCAACTGAAGCAAGGGGGAAAGACTGAGACATACCACTGTCACTCTCAAAACAGGCACAAGGTTTCTGTGAGCACATTACAGCCATTCTTCAAAGTGATCTGCAGGACTACCACCAGACACCAGTCCAATAAAGATAAAGACTGGGCATGAGATAATGGATTCAAAGTAATAGGGTGACAGAGGCTATTTTCTTGGAAAAATGCCCTGAATTCAGCATTGTGTATATCCCTCAGGAATCCATTACTGTCTGCAAGTGATATGTGTAAAAAAATCTGTGTGCTGTCTGGGTGGTCTCTTACAAAGCCCCTGAACCCCCTGTCCAGGAAAAGGTCAGTGTCCGCTGTACCAGAAGGATGTCAATCCTGGCCTCCCCTGGCAGTTCACCAGTCTTGACATCTGTTTACTAAGCACATACTGCATGTTAGGCATGTGCTGCAGATACAGCAGTAACAGGGATGCAGCCCCTTCCCCCTTGGAGTTTACTTTCTGAGAAGAAAAGGAAAAGTGAGGAGGTGAGAAGATAAACTAACAGCAAGTGGGTAGGGGACGCGTAACAGGTGCTGAGAGGGTAGAGGTGGGTAACCCGTTCCCAGCCTCTCCCTCTCCTGGACATCCCCCAGCTCTGCTCTCCTGTTTCCCATCGTCTCCCTCCCGCCTCCCCTCCTCCACACTCCTCACCCTGCCCCGCAGGGCCCCTACGCCACCGGTGCCCCCCTCGGTCGTGGGGGTCCCGCCTGCCGCCACGGGGCCCAGTTCAACCGTTCTGCGCACGCCCCGCCCCTGCCAGCCACCGCGTCCACCATGGGGAATGAGGCCAGTTACCCGGAGGAGATGTGCTCCAGCTTTGACCAAGATGAGATCAAAAGGCTGAGCAAGAGGTTTAAGAAGCTGGCCTTGGACGGCTCGGGCGCGCTGAGCGTGAAGGAGTCTGTGCGCCTGCCTGAGCTGTGGCAGAGCCCACTGGTGCAGCGAGGGTTCAGCATCTTCGGCACGGACAGCCACGGCGAGGTGGACTTCAAGGAGTTCATCCTGGGGACCTCCCAGTTCAGCGTCAAGGGGGATGAGGAGCAGAAGCTGAGGTCTGCTTTTAGCGTCTACGACATGGATAAGGACGGCTTACATCTCCAACGGCAAGCTCTTCCCGGTGCTGAAAATGATGGTCGGGGACAATCTGCAGGACTGGCAGTTACAGCAGATCTCAGACAGATCCAGCATCACCCTGGACACCGACGGCGACGGGAAAATCTCCTTCGAGGAATTCAGTGCCGTGGTGGGAGGCCTGGAGATCCACAAGAAGCTGGTGGTAATTGTTTGAGCTTTTCTAAGAGCACCGCCTAGCAGTAACTGGACTTTCTTCTCTATCTCTTTCAAGATCAGCCAAAACAGCCCAGCAACTGTTCATCTTACTTGAAAGTATTTCTTTTTGTGAAGCCAAGTTTTCTAATAGGAACCTCATGACCAACTCCGTGTCCTTAATTCTTCTCAGTGTTTCCAGGGGACATCCTGAGTCCAGGAGAACAAGGGAAAAAAGCTCGATGGGGAAAAAAAAGAAAATGACTTTTGTAAATGTCTTTTTCTTTGTTTTAGGAGACCAATCTATAAACAGTCAAGAAGTTTAAAAGTTCAAATACAAGAAAATATACACGTTTGCCTTTACTTCTCCTGGTTTTATATATAGGAGACAATTGTACAATTCAAATCAGGTGTTAGGTGAACTGTTCTCATTTATTTGTGGTGTTCAGATGTCTTGACAGGTTGTTAACTTCCTGTTGTACCAACAGGAAGGAATATAGTTATCCTGGCTGAACATCCTCTTACCACTTTCTCTGGGCAGTGAAAGCCCGTCTTTCGCTTTCCCAGGCTGCAGCCCACTCCCTGTGATGCATCCAGAAATCCCTGAGCCTGTCTGAGGGTTGGGCATCTGGCTGGGCTCCTCCTGTCTCATTGCTCCAGCTCTTGAATAGAAACTGGTCTCAAGCATCTTGTAAGAGACTCTAAGCCTGGACTGAGCGCCCAGCCCAACTATCAGCCTCAGTGACAGTGGGTTTTCAGGCTTGGCTGCCCGCCCCAGTGTCAAGTTCAGTGAAGGGGGCTTTCCTAGAAAGCTCTCTCACCTCCAAACTCAGCCCCACCTCAGAGGGTGTGGGGCAGATTCAGGACCGTTCTTCCCATGAGGCAGAAGCAGCGAAGGTTCCGGCTGCAGTGGACTCTCCTAGTCCTGAAGTGGTGTTGTTCCTGATACTCAAACAATGCAGAGATGGGCAGGCACGTCTCTGCAGCAGAGGAAAATGCTGTCTGCACTAGCTAGACTTAGTTTTGGAAATCAGACCTGGGACCTAGCAGGGTTGCTGGGAGCTCTCTCATGCCAGGAAACCTTTCTCTAGTGTAACATTCAGCCTAGAGCTCCTCACACCCTAATAAGCCTGCAGCTGAGGGGTTCCCTGGAACTGTTCACACTGTTCATCTTACTTGAAAGTATTTCTTTTTGTGAAGCCAAGTTTCTTGGTGAAGCCAAAAGCCAGTGCACATGGGTCTCTCCCCAGCTTCCTGTTCAGTGATGTCATGCGAACAACTTGAAATCAGCCCTGTGGGACTAGTATAGAGAAGAGGGACTAGTATGGAAAAGAGAAAAATGTTTAGTTGTTTTTGTTTTGGCGAGGCAGTGCACATTGCTGCCTGTACCCCAGATGTCACCAGCTCCCCAAGGGTCCACTGATTACTATCAGTTCTCAGAGGACAAGCTAGTCCCAGCCCCGGCTGCCTCACTCCAGTCCTGATTCTCACAGTGGACCATTAATCCTGCAGGTGCTTAAAAAAAGCTACCAGAACACCAAGACAATGAAACGTACTCTCCCTACACCTACTTAGCCAAGGGACAAAACTCAGGTGATTTTTCCCAGGACAAGAAAAATCTGTTTCAAGGAGATTTATTATTCTTACATTTTGAAAAAGCTCCTACCTAGTCTTGACCAAAAATGTAGGAAAAGTAAATCCACACATTTAACTACTATCAGGGTGCTGTTTGCCAAAGCACTCGGCCATACTTTTGACTTAATAGATTACTTAGGAACCACAAAGAATAGGAGTCTCTGTCCCTTATGCAGGCCTTAAAAAAAGTATTAATAATCACTAAACACTCCCAACCCTGTAGTGATATAAGTCATGCCCCCATTGCAGGGTAACATAGTTCCAAGACTCAGACACACCTGGGTTTGGATTCAGTTACAACTGGGTTTTATATCACAGTCACTTCCTATTAGTTGTGTGGGCTGGAGCAAGTTATGTAACTTCTCTGTGTCTGAGCATCCATCCCAGGGTTATTTTGAGGATTTAAAAAGATAAAACATGTAAAGTGCCTAGAGCACGATGGGCTCTTTGTACTAATTCCCTTCCCTTCCCCTTCCTCCCCTTCTAATAGGTCACTGTATACGGGAGACAGAAGGCCTATGTGTTCCCTCTGATCTCTTACTCAGTACTTAGCCAGTCACTCTAAAATTAACAGTGTAATACTAACCCAGAAAGGAAACAAGGAATAATGTCAAGGTCCCCCCTCTCCCTCACTTGCAGAGAGGACAGCAGATTTTTCAACTGGAGGAAGTTTTAAAGAGACACTCTCATTCTAGCCCAACCTATTTGACTCTGTGGAGGACCTTTAAAAGACATTATTTATATACCCTTCAATGTGCACATTAAAATATAGAAAATTTTAAGTTATGACCAAGTGTTTGGAACATGTTGGATGGCATGTTCAAAATGTAACAAGAAGAAAAATAATTTCAGCTTCTGGGGTAGCTGGAATTAACAAGCTAATTGCTCAATCAGCCCACCTAATACAGCTGCTCAAGTCTCTGCAGCAATGACCTTGAACTGAGAGCCTGTTTCAGCTTCAGCCACTGGGAAGACTGACTATATGGATATTTGGGAAGAAAAAGTACATTTACTTCCAAGTTATAATGCTTTGATTTTTCTCTCTGTTAATTGCCAACAAATCTAGTTTTATACAACTCCTTGGGGTGATGACAGTGAACATTTATTGAATGACTGGTTCAGTTTCTGTTATATTTGCTATATCATTTAATCATGACAATACCATGAGGTGGGTGCCATCATCTCAGTTTTACAGATGATGCTGTAAAAAGATCTGGAATCTTCTCTAAGATTTCCACCTCACTGCATTGCCCCCTACTTTTATGGTCCCTATATTTACTTGCCTCAAATTATGTCTGATAGTCTTATTAATGTAATCAAATCAAGCCTCGATTTTCAAAAAAGAAGTGAATTGCTTGTCAAGGAGCAAACAACTCCTACCTTTCTGGTTCTATGCATTGCAAAGAGAAAAGACTAATAATAGGCGAGGCAGTCTTAAATCATCTTCCACCTTAATCTCACCTTGAAAAATAAGCAACAGTACTTGAACTGTTAACTGCAACCAGTATGTCTTTGAGGCTACAGAGTACCAATATGCTATTATGAATCCTACAGGAATGGATTGTGTCTGCTCTCTACCATGTGTTGCAATCCCCCAAGCCACTAGGCACCTTTTTTTAAAAAAAACATAGGAAAAATTTGGCCTCAGCACCCTCCACTTATCCTCTAAGTCATGCTTGAGAGATATTTTCAAGGAAAAACCTGCCAGGAATTTTTGTTCTTAATTACAAATTCCATTCTTCACTTATGCTGTTCACTTTGTTGGGAGGTAGAGGATGCCCTTACTCTGGCCACTGTGTTTTATCTATTTTGCATGCTTTGAAAAGGGAGAGGCTTGAATGTTTAAGACAAGATGGCATGGTGACAGAGGAGTCAGGCGACAAGACTGAGAGTCAGAAGAGGACCCCTTTCCTTTTGTATTGGCTGCCATAGTTCTCCAAGTGGCTGGTGACTGTGAATGGCTGCAAATCATTTGGCAGCTTTAAAGGTGTTACCTGATTCATAAAGAAAACCTATTGCACAACAATAAAGCTGTGTAGCTCCAAGGACATAACCTGACAGCTTGCAGGCTTAATCTGACCCACAAATAAAAATTTCTGTCTGTAGTTTTATGTTTGTTTGTCTTAAGAGCATGAATAAGCATAAAGGAATGCAGGCCACCTCAGCATGGGAGGGGCCTTTTATTTGGCTAAGGTATCTCTGAAGCATGGGACTGAAATTAAGTCTCAATGAAGAGAAAATAATGTTTTTCACTATTTAGTACAAAAGCTCAAGATAGACTGAAGTGGTCATTATGTTTCCAATATTAAGCACCTGGTCATAAAACATTTATCCCAAAAACGTATTTTCTAACAACTGAAGCAGTAGAGGCATTTATAATAAAACAAATACAGCCCTATGCAGTTTCAAACTTCTGTATAACAAAAACTAACAAAGATAACAGGAAAATTTTTAAAAATGAAGAAAAACATATGTAACATGTTAGGAAAGAAGTTTAAGCTTTTTCAGTAAAAAGCTTCGCTTTGGTTGAAATGCATAAATGGGCAAAGGGTAAAAATATATGACTCACACAAAAGGAGAAGGGAAAAACCGAAAAATAGCCTCACTAACTGAATAAATACAAATCAGAATATTTAAAACAGGAAAAAAGGATGAATTATAGAACAGTGTTGGCAAGGATGTAAGCGTCCTGTGCATCAGGGCATCTTTGGTAGCCTTAGGAATGATTTGCATACTTTTCAAGTGCCCTCTCAGATAGCACAAAGCATCAAAACATATGGATCATCTGACCCGCTAATCCCATCCATTGCAAAAAATATCTCAAAGAAATAATCAAAAATAATTTTTTTAGATGCTATGCACAAAAGATCTCTGTGTTGCAGCAGTATTTATCATATATGTAATAAATAATGTTAAAGAAAAACAACTGACAGTTTGGAGAGTAGTTAAGTCATTACGGTAAAATAATAGGTGATAGTATAAAGCCCTGAAAATTAATAAAATGCCATGTAAACCCATACATTTTTAGAACATGATATTGTTTTTCTAAAACCATAATTATTGTATGTTATATATCCAAAGCTGGAAAGTACATAATATATGCATGTGATCATAAGTCAGAAGAGAAAATGAAGAATTGAAAGTCATTGTTTATAGTAAAAGGATCACAGTTAATCATGTGAAATGTAGTTTTTTTGAAATAGTTTTCTAGTTGTTTTAATAATAAATTAACATTTCAAAAGACTGCAGTTTTTTTAGTTCTAGTTGTTTTCTTCTGCACAATGTAAAGCATTTCAGACGCCGTTGCTTTACTGCCCGCTCAGTGAGCACTCCCAGGCGTGCTGTGCCGCGTGTGCTCTCCACCCACAGCGCATGGAACATGGACTGATGAAAAGAAACAATAAACTAAACATAACAGGTATAAATAACATTTAGCAAAATAAGTAAGCCAGGCAATTTTTTGAATAGTTACTTATTGATTAAGGAGGTAACTGAATGAGATTGAATAGGCTAGACTGAGCTCGTGAGGAACAAACTGAAGCCACTGATGCCTGAGATCTGCCTATGGCCAAATCCAGGGACACAGAGCACCATCCATGCCTGGGACCTTTGCTCCTTGGCACTCAGGCCCCCAGAAGTGTGTAGCTGTGAGTTATCAAATGAAGCTGCCGGTGAAGCAATGGACTGAAGAAAATAAAACGTGTGTCCATTTGAGTCTCTTTGCTCTCTGTATACAGCTCTTGACACCACGAGATTGGGCTATGATTGCATTTCTGAATGTGCTGTTTCTGCTCATGTCATTTGCACTGCAATCAGTATTTTTTGTCTGCATTACTTAAATTTATGTTAAAGATTTGACATTGAATATTCATTGTTCTTCTCCTTCCTCTGACCAATGATAAATGTCCAGTTGAGCAAGTTCCACTTCATCAGAAAAAAGTTTTCATTTGATAGTGTGGGGCAGATGTGCACATCTGGTGCACAGACAGGCACACATTCCGACAGTGTGGCCCTAGGGGAGGGGCAGCTGAATGACAACTGCAGCTGTACAGCTTATCACTCAGACTCAGACACAACTCAGGACATTTTCTCTGGGGCTCACAGGCAGTTTACAGTGTATTTTCAATTCAGATGGTAAGTTTTGAATAAAAATGTTGCAAGTTATTACAGGGAATAGACAGTACGAGTTAAGATAGTGATACATGTAAATGATGTTCACTTGAAATGCAGTGAGGCTTTGGCAGCAGACGGCCCTGCTTCCAGAGCCCAGCTCCCCCATTTGTTAGCTTACATGATCCTGGGTACAGTGACTAATCCCTCTCAGCCTCCTTTTCCTCACATGTGAAGTGGGGATAATAATGCTTAACTTACAGAGTCACTGTAAGGTCATACTGTGCACATATGGTGTCTGGCACACATATTAGATGCCCAGTTTTAAAAAGCAGTAACTACCAGTCTATTAGTAGGTGCAAACAACAGAAATTGAAGGAAAGAAATGTATAAGATAAACTGAATACAGCCTATTTGTTACTGGGGTAATAAGAGGACATTGAGACTGATTATTATTACATGCAGGAAAACAGGCAGGGAGGCCATGTGTTTAAAGGGAAGGTGATTCACTGTAAGTTACACTTCTTTCTCATCTTGGCAGCACCTTAGAAGAAAAAAGTGCCAGTACATTTAATGTTTTGCTGAATGTTTGATGGTGTTAGTGTTGAAATCTTAAATTAATTCCTCCAGTTTGTCCTTCATCAATAGCAGTAATAATCTTCTAATAAAGTCTTATCCTGTACACATTACAACAGGTCCAGGCCAAGGGCTGTTGTCAGACACATTTGTGTATATGTTCTGGAGGGCAGTGTTATCCAGTTATTCACCACTTGTGCAGAGATGTCCCAGGAAGAGCCCTGATACTTGTGTAACCCTGGGGCCCAACACACCTCTCGCCTGTCCTAGACCAGCCTTGCTTATTCCCTAGGGCTTCTGCCTGCATTCTCAGGTGGTCTCCCTGGTCCCCCTGCCTCGTGCTCCGTCTCCGGGACCTGGCACATGCCCTGCACCCCTGCTCACCTCTGGTCATCCTTCTCCAGGGATTTTGACACCTGTCTTTGATCCACAGCCATTGCCAGAAGTATAGTCATGGAGGAAAAGACATTCTGTGGCCCAGGGTCCCCCAAAGCCTGAGCTCTTTAAACTCTGCCTCTGCCCTGCCCCCTAGACAGACTCCTGGCATGCCAGGTGGCCCGGCCATGCCTGAACCATGCCTGGCCAGCTGTCCAGGATGGGGAGAATGAAAGAAAGGAAAAATCCTTAGGGGGATCAGAGGATTGTTCCCATCAGTAATGAAGGGGTTAAGAATGCTGGGTCTGGAGAGAGTCTGCCTTTGAACCCCAGCTCTAACCTTTGCTAGTTATTTGACCTTGAAGAAGTTTACTTAACTACTTTGTTCATAAGTTTCCTTACCTATAAAATGAACAAAGTAACAATACCTACCTCACAGGTCATTATGAATATTAAGCAAATTGCTACATTGATAAAGTGCTCAGAACGGCACCTTCTGATGCCGGGGTTCTTGTTTGTGGAGTCCAAGAATGAACTTAGCAAACACCCAAAGTAGGAGAGCCAGGGTAGAAGCTTTTATGTAGAAATAAAATGAGAGGAAAGAGCTCCTGGCTCACACCAGGAGGGGACAAGAGAGCCTGGAATAGTGCATTGTCTAGGGGATTTATAGGCAGTTGAGGATTTGGGGGAATTGAGGGCTTAGGGTGTGAACTTATACCACCTTCCCTGCCCTCAAGGTGGGCTGAGTTGTTGTCTGTTTGCTAGGGCTGTTTACAGTGAAGTCACAGGTTATCCTGAGATACCCTTGTGGAACACTCAAACACTCCAGGCCAAGTTGCTCCTGGCCTTTTGACCTTTAACTGATCTCACTGAAGGTGTCTATATTCTTAGTCTGGTATCATACCCTAGAAAATTAGTGTGACCTTGACTTTACATAATGCTGAACACAAAGTTTCCATAGGTACTTTACATTGTTACATTGCTTTGACTGTAAATATCTTGCCTTGCTTTTTCCAGAGGCCCTCACCCTACTGTGTCTAAGTCCATAGTCCCTGTCTCACTTCCACACACTGACTGCCAAGTAGTAATGCACGACAGTGAGCACCAAAAGCCTCCAGCAAAGGGACGTGCCCGGCTCCTCAGCCTTGGCCTCTGAGGACTCGCCTCGTGTGACCCTGCCTCACAGCCCCTGCATCATTGTGCCGGAAGGTCATGTTTCCTTTGTTTCTGCTGCCCTCAGCTTAGAGGGCTTACCTTCCCACCCGAGCATCTGCATCTACCTCTCTTGCTTTACATCTTACCCCTTGAGCCAGCTTGTCCACAAAACCCAGGAGGCGTGGATCACTGTATCCTGGGGAATGAATGTTTGCCTCCACCCTGGACTCAAGCTGATTGGCAGGGACATAAGCCTCCTCTCTCCATGCCATGGTACACTGAAGAGTGCCTGGCACATGCAGGCACCCAAGGTACCAAATGTCTTTCTTGCTGCAGGATTGATTCTTATCATCGTGTCAGGGACTAAGACCTATTTTGTAGAGAATTCATGAGAGCTCTCTTCAACAGAAGTGAATCACTTAGCAGAGTGCCCACCACATATAGTTGTAATTATATTGTTGCTGCTAACTGCTGCCATTTGGTTGTAGGGCAGAAAGAGCTCAGGCTTTGGAGATATACATAGATGAACTTTTAGACCAGTTTTGTCACCTAAAAGCAGCAAGGACTTCAGATACCTCAGCTATAAATTGTGATTATAATAGCAATCTCAGTGCAAAAAAGTAAGCAATCAATAAATATTAGGTCCCTTCTCTTTCTCTACGGCTGTCTAATTTTGCAACCTGTCCCAGTTTACTTGGTCCCAGGTTCCTCATTTGTAAAATGAAGACATTGAACTACATGACCTTCATATTCCCTGCCAGTTCCAAATTTCAAAATTATTGAAGCATCATCTTTTCCCTTGAGCCTATTCATCCTTTGTTCCTGAGAGAGGTTCTTTCCTTGATAATTATTCAATGTTTTAATATATTAAATTGTTTCAATTCTCAGTCTCCATCTCTACCCTACCTCTCAGTCTCTCTCTAGAGATTGCAGGGTGGTCCAGACTCAGGCCCTCTGCACAACTCCAGGGACATTCATACAGTAGCACTGTGTGTGAGTAACACCATGAGAGCTGTACTCCTTAGCAGCCCTTGGCCTGGCTGGATTGCTTTCACAGTGCAGTAAAGTGAAGTCTGCAGAGCACACGGGAAGGCATAGTCTCAGCTTTCCATGGGTCCAGAAGAAAAGCATCCGTGTCTAGGAATAAACAAGCATGGAGCCAGGTGAGCATCCCATTCATGGTCTTCCCTTTCCTGTTCTGCCACAGACTTTGCAAATGGGCATCAAACATTTCTCTGGACTCTTCGTGCTGCTCTGCATCGGATTTGGGCTGTCAATCTTGACAACCATTGGTGAGCACATAGTGTACTGGCTGCTGCTCCCACGAATCAAGAACAAATCTAGGCTGCAGTACTGGCTCCACACCAGTCAGGTGAGTGCCACCGGTGTCTTGCTCCAATATTCTTAAACCTCAGAATTCCCACTAATGGGAGAATCCAGAGCTCCAAGTCAGACTGACGTGTGACAGGTTACCCAGAGAACTAGGGTGGTAGAGACTCTCTCAAGGTAGACGACAGAGTTCCATCTATCCCATTAATTCACTTCCCCCCCTAAATTGAGCTATCCCAAAATGTCCCAGTTCCCTTTATCCCATCTGTTCACTTCCCCCTTTAAATTAAACTATCCCCAGATATCCCTTCCTTTCATGAAAACTTTCACCACTGTTGTTCGCAGCAGAAGCAACAGAACAGTTTTTAACTTGATTTCACTTAATACTGACAATCTGAAGAGATGGTGTTAAAGATTTGTTTCAGATTCTTCTTTTGCTAAAATTGAAACTCTTTAAATGAGCTAAAAGTCCCTGTTTCCCTGTAGATGAACTCACTGGCCCCTGTTCTCTCTGCACCTTCCATGGTCCAGAAGTTTGAGGTCTGCTGGTGTTGAGGCCAAGCCTCATAGGAAGTTCTTCCGTGTGATCCAGAACACCAGCTCTCACTCACAGGGGAGCTGAACTGTTAGGCAGAGCAGCCGTGCAGGCACCCTCATCTGCACATGGCTCCCTGCAGGATTCAGCATGGAGAGCCAAAATATACTTGGTGGGCTTCTTAACGATGAAGGGGCTCTAGCCAAGGCAGCAGCTCCCCCTGGCCACAATGAGTAGTGAGATGGGAGGAGCCATCTGATGTCCGGGCAGTGGGCTCCCCTGCCCTGGTGCACCACCCCTCAAGCTCAGCAGGAGGCTGCCAGTTCTGTGCTTGGTTCATCTATTCCACTGGCCTGCCACTTGGTTAACACAGGCTGTTATTTTCCTGGTAGGTCACTATTATTGGTTTGGTTACATTGAATGCGCCCTGTTTTTCCTGCTTTCATCCTAGGAAGTATTTGGTCTCCTAGGGAGAATTCTGCAGACATCGGATCTCCATTTTATATGGACAAAATTAGTTTAATTCCCATGAGTTCTTCTTTCTTTGTTTTGGCTGCTAAGAAGTTCACACTTAAGGTTTTGACTCACCCTGTAGCAATTGTACCAGGCCCTTTGCCACCCAATAGTTAAGAAAGCTCTTCTTGATGACACATATCCTTTTACAACCCAGAACATTTCTGAGCTTTCTGTCAAATTGCTTTTTATTCCCCTCCAAGTATAATAATAGCTTATAATTCGAATTCTTGTTCTCTTGAGATTTGAACTCAATGTTGATGATATTCAGCATCTAGAAATTTGTTTAAAAAAGGCCAAGGATTGTAGCAATGAAATACACTATTAAATCTCAGGTGGGTACTTTGTCCCCTGATTGCATTTCTAATGATCTCAACATGTGAATCTGTTCTTTCCACCAGAGATTACACAGAGCACTAAACACCTCATTTGTAGAGGAAAAGCAGCCACGTTTGAAGACTAAACGTGTGGAAAAGAGGTAAGAAGAAGCTAGTGCCAGGTGTCTCTGTATTTGTCAAAATAAAAGTTTAGATAAGTAACTGAAACTCCCTGCTCAAAAGGAAATTATATATAAATAATTCAGATCAAACCAAGATGAAGCTGTTGATAAACACAATCAGTAAAAATGCATATATATGGTTTCAAATAGAAATGGAACAGAAAAAAATTTTGAAGCCTATCTGTACATATATAAATCCTGATACATGTATGGGCACTACAACTCATAGTTAAGGATGGGTGAGAGCTCTTGAGTCCGGCATCTGGATCCAAATCCTGTCTCAGACACTTAAAATATGCATGGCCTTGGGCAATTTACTTATTTAACCTCTCGGTGCCTCAATTTCCTCATTTGTAAAACTGAGATTAAAAACAGTACCGCCTTCCAAGAGATGCTCTAAAGATTGAGATAATACACGCAAAGCCCTGAAAGTAAAGCTCTTCTAACTATCATTATTGTGTAAAAAATACACATACGACTTAATTCCTGAGTGCTGCAGGCATTAATTTCATGTGACACTGCATTTTTGGCATGTTTCTATTCCCCATTCCTTTCCAGCACCCCTAGGAATATTTGAAATAAGAACAGACATGTTCCACTTAGTCCATTTCCTGGCACTTTTACTATAAACTCCCCCAGGAAAGAGCATCTCATTAAAAAGAAGTAGCAAAACTTCCACACCTTCGCCACACCCAGCCCGGGGGTAACTGTTGACCCCTTAGTGGTGGTGGCTAAAGATGTGGAAGGCACCTGGGGCTGGCTCCTGGCTGGCCTCTGTGACAGAGCCTCAGCTAAGCTTGGCCTTCTGGGTCTTTGTGAAATCTGACACCCATGCTCCTCATTCATAATAGAGAAAGAGGAAAAAGGGGTGAAAAGCATGATGATTTTTCATTGTTTGCGCTTCCTCTGGGACTCCTACAGTCAGTCCCTGTCTCCCCAGCTGACATTAACTTGTCAGAATCCTTTTGTCAGCATCCTTTTGTCCCGTCTCCTTTTCCAGTCGGTGAGCATGCCCCCCTCCCTCTCAGTCTGCAGTATTCCTGTGTCATATTGCACCCCTGTCGGCAGCAAGCTGGAGACTAATCAGGTCACAGCTGTTCTATGCCATGTTACATATATTTTTTCTATAATTATTTTAACATAAATTTTTAACCAGAGGAACACAAAAAGACAGAGCAGCAAAGATATTATCTCATAATGACAAAGTGACTGTTTTCCAGCCATAACAGAAACAGGAAGCCTAGTCATCCCATTTCCAACTGTGATGTGATTGCTGTTCACATCTCTCTCTCCTAAATTGAGAGCCAAATGTGTCTTTAGCTCAATTTGTCCACTTTTCATGGCAGATTCCCATCCGGAACCCCTTATTTTGAGAAGGAGTGAAGGCAGAACCTGCCCTCATGGCTTATGTTGTCCACATTTCCTGGGCCACCTCCCTACAACCCAACGCCCACCAGTAACCTTTCAAAGGTAGTCAGTGTTTGAGCTCCCACAGCTGTCATGTGTCTTCTGAATGGGCTACTGGAGGATCAAACCTCAGCATTACCTAGTTGCTTTGTGGAAGCTTCTTTTGCTCCTTTTTTATGTTAAATACAGGTCACACACTGGGCACATTACACTCTAAGGTTGAGGAAGGCTTGGTAGAAAACCTGTTCCAAACACCATAGAAGCCAATATAGCATGTTCATTCTTTCCAATTAGGCACCAAATCCAACATTGAGCATCTGTCATCTTGCACTTCTAGGAGGCCCAGAGCCACATGTCCTTTATCAGAGCACTTGTGATGCTAGCCACTAGCGTCCCATGGAGTCCAGCTTCTGCTTATTTTTCTATGTTATATTCCCAGACATATGTACAAAGCTTGGAGAAAGCCAGATTAGTTATCTCTACTTGCCTGGACATTCCAGGAAAACATGTCCAGGCCTTCCTCCCAGGTTTTCCCCAACATGAATCATGCTATGGTACTATAGTTAGGTCTGTTGGCCTGAAAAATATCTCTCCCTCTTGCTTTGGAAGGTATCTATGCAAATACCTGTGTTGCCTACAACTTGACATCCCTCCTTTGTGCTCCTTATTGATTAAATGAATAAAATAACAGATGAAGGAATGAATTACGTATGGGTTTGGAAAGGCTTGGAGAACTTTTGGGCCATGGCATCAGAGTAGATGTTGCTCCTCTTATATTTAAAGCAAAGAAAAAATACATATTGCAAGAGACTTCATATTGTCCTTGCTTTATTCACCTGTGGTTCCATATATGTTTTGGTCTCTCCTCATCTCCCTGGATTTCCAGTACAGCCCCTTTCCCTTTCTTCTCACTCCAAGATACCCCAAAATTGGCAGCCATATATATAATACACACCACAAACAAATCACTTTGAAATTATTCAAACTCAGTAGGAAGATTTGAAGGAACAATCACAGGGAACTATAAGGCTAGAAGGAAAATTATAACTCCACCTCTGATCCAGGTATAAAGCCAGTGGAACTCTAAGCGGGTTCATTATAGAACTTTTATGCAGCCCAGAACATATAAAAGTCTGCTCTTGTGCCACCTGCACATTTATATGAGACTTAAGCTATGAGAAATGTAAATGAACGTCAGGGGCTATTGGGTTATGTTTGTGTGTTTTACTGCACTGGGACATATATCAGTTAGTTTTTGCTGTGTGAGAAATTCTCTCCATAGTTCCTGTTTTAAATAACAGCAAATTGCTTATGAACCTGTAGGTCAGCGGTGCACTTTACTCATCTGGGCCAACCTTTGCTGGCCTTGGCTACTCTTGCTCATGTGTCTGCAGCCCCTTGGGGGGAGGGGAAAGCAGCTAAAGGCTGGCTGGTCTGTGCTGGCCCCAGCCAGGTCAACTGCGAAGACCTGGGGCTCCCCACGTAGGCAGTCACTGTCCAGCAGAGCAGTCTGGGCTTACTCATGTTGCAGCAGCAGGGTTCTGAGAGAAACAGTGGAAGTGTGCAAGGCTTCTTAAAAGTTTAGGCTTGAAACTGCCACCTGCCACTTCCTATTGGCCAAAACAAGGCAGGAGACCAGGCCAAATTGAAGAGGAAGGGAAGGCAAACCTTTCCCCTTGGATTTCTTGATAAGGATGAGCTGCAAAATCACATGACTGAGGGGCATGGATGAAGGAAGAACAACTAAAAGAAAAACCAGATAACCCCTTTTGCCATCTACAGGGGAAACGATGAAACAGAATCATCCAATTAAAAGTCCTTGTGTTTTTTTATCTTACCCATGTAACTGAATCAAACCTTTATTATCCTTCCCTTTTGCCCTCCCCTTAAAGGTCCTCCCTTGGCAAGTAAGAGTCCAGGAATAAATTATTGATTCAATTATATGGATGGGAATGAAAATATAAAGACTTAATAGAGTGTTTGTATTTTGTTTTGTCCTATGGTAGATTACAAAAGTGGTTATAATCTTCCTCCTCCTCCTCTTCCTCCTTCAACAAAGCTAGAGGATAGCAGCAGCTATGCTATTTAGGGCTCTGATCTGTTCTTTACAAGCAAGAAACTTTTCACATTGCATTTGACTGTCAAAGCATGTTTCAGAGACCAACTCCCTCTCCCTCTGTGCCTGTCTGGCAATAACTGTCTTGCTGTCTGTAGCCACCTCTCTGAGATGGTGGCAGGTGGTTCAAGGCAAGCATGAAAGAAGATTGCAAATCTATTTCTGTTTGACTTTCATTATCCAGCAAGAACTTGAGGCTTTCTTGGGGTTGGTCTTTTTTTTTAAGCTGTCATTCTCAACCCACATAAAGTCATCCATATAATGGGATCTGTGCTGAGACCTGCAGCTTATATGCTTTCATTCTCCTCCAACTCAAGTAGTTAAACATCAGGATGGTCCTGTGGGACTGAGGATGAGCCATGTTATAGTTTCAATCATCAAGCTCATGCTTAGAGCCCAACAGATGAATAAACACTCTCACTTTTACTAATGCCCTATCATTATAGCCATAGAATGTTGCAGGGCAGGGCTGCTTTCTGAGCCTCCCTGGCAGGAGGGGAATAAAAGGCATCTAAGGTTCTTCATAAAGGAAGTGCCAAACCCTGGCCCATCAGCCAGCCCGATGATGTACCCTTTCCAGTTTCAGGGCAACAGAAGACATGCTAAGACCTTGAACTTCAGTTGAAAGGAATTATATTGGCTCCTTTTGTCCCCGTGCCACTCTATCTAGCAGGCAGTCTATCCAAGGCTTTGTTACATCATCTCTGAATGAGTGTGCAGCTCCATGGCATTCACCCTGGAAATGGCTAACATGGGAACAGCGCACTGAGAGCAGCAGAGCAGGAGGCAGATCTAAAGGGTCCCTTTGTTTCCTAGATCCAGTGTGGGACCCCGTCAGCTCACTGTGTGGAATACATCCAGTCTGAGTCAGGACCACCGACGAAAACACGTGTTCCATGAGGAGGGGGGAAAACAGCAGCTGGGCATCTGGACCCGGGAGGACATCCCACTCCCACCGAGAAGAGAGTTGCCTGCCTCACTGACCACCAACGGGAAAGCAGACTCCCTGAACGGGGCTCGGAACTCAGTCGTGCAGGAGCTCTCAGAGCTCGAGAAGCAGATCCAGGTGATCCGTCAGGAGCTGCGGCTGGCTGTGAGCAGGAAATCAGAGCTAGAGGAATACCAAAGGACAAACCGGACTTGTGAGTCCTAGGTGGTCATGCGGCTCCCCATTCTCAGATCCTCATGTTCCTATGAGCTCTTGAGACCCTTGGTAGTGCCCTTCTGTAACTATGACAAAGGTGTGGGGAAACCAAGGTCTAGGTGTTCTCAGAGGTCAAGTCTGCTCTCTGTAGCCTGAAAAGCAACAGAAGCTCTTCTCAAGCTCTCTCTCCAGGTCTCCCGGGCAGGAGTCTTTCAGAGCAGGGATGGTAAATTAAGCAGGAGTAAACTCCATGTCAGGGATCTGGGAATAACCAGACACCCCCAGCTCCTGTTAACCTCTCACCAGGTGCCACAGTAATATTTCTGGTTTTTAGCCCTTTCTCTGCACTACTGACAACAAGAGATAAAATTGTTACAAATACCTGTATCTTACTGAGTTGTTGATTTTAATGTTAGTGTAGAACAGGATTATCCAGGGTTGTGCCTTGTGATACAACTCCGCACTCTAGGTGTGTTCCTACATTTTAGATGGGGAACCAGGTAAGAGGTAGAGAAACCAAGGACTGGGGCAGGGAGGTGAGTCGTTTAAAAAAGGAACCAAATTCATGAATACTGCAGCAGGGCAAGGTTGACTTGATCAGGCAAGAGCCCTCCTTTTGAGAGAGTCCTGGATCTCTCACACCATCCTAACATTTAGTAGGAACACATTCACATGCCACAATGAAAGGGGTCAGGGGTGTGGTGAGCAGGAACAGAGGACAGGCAGAAGAGTCATTACACCGTGTATTTAGAACAAAAGCTGTGGGCCAGAAGAGCAATTTGGCTAAGGAGTGAATAGGACTATACTTCTGATCTAACTAAGCATCTCCACTATAGTGTGTGCCTTTTGTAATGGAAAAAGGGAGAGTGAAGCAAAGCACGGGTGTGGCCTTAGGATGAAACTGGAATATCCCTGCTTATTTGCCTGAACAGTATGTGTAAGCCAGCACTGTGGGTTCAGGGAAGACGTTCTGCAAACCACATACGGCCATTTTCAGATCAGCAGTCACCTATCTCTTAGCTCTAGCAATCCCAAAAGTGAACCTCAAGTCTGTGACCACAAGCCACAAAATTCAGAAATGAAATTTTCAGATCCGTATTGATAACCCCCATGTCAATCTCCCAGCCTCACACCCACTCATCTTGGAGAAGTTCCAAACAGGTTTGGCCCCACCTTTTGGCCCCTAGGCCCCCTCTAATGCCCCCAAGAGATTGATATCAGTACCCTGGTTTCTCTCTGCCTGGGCATCCTTTCTTAGTGTGCAACTGCATGGACACAGGAACAGAAAAAGTATGAGAAGAGAATGGTGGAGCTGCAGCTCCCCATGTGAGTGTAGCTAGGAATGATCTAGGACCACATTAGGATGCTGACAGCCAGACCTTTGCCCAGAGCATGCAAATGGGGAGGGGAGTCTGGAGGTGAGCTGTGTGAACAAACACGCCCAGGTACCTGGCACACCTGGTCCAAAAAACTACCTTCAAGAAACACTGTTCTAGAAGTTTGACTGCCATGGGCCATGGGAGAAGTGGGAAGAGCCTTACTGAGAGTTCTTTTAACCCAGCACACATCTGCTGATTCACCTGACCCCAGAGCACCATTTAGGACTAGACTTCCTTGTTGACCCCTTACTTGCTTTATCTTCCCAGAACTTTTTGCTCCACCCACATCAGTTTGAATGCCTCCGATGAGTTCACAGCACTGTGCCAAGCATGGTGCTCTGTAACTGCTGCAGGTCACTGGAAAGGCTCCTCAATCACAAAATTTCTCCTCCTGCTTTTGGATGCAGTCTCTGCATTTCCACAAAGAGTTTTCACAGTCCCCCAGAGAAAGATAACATCTTAAGCTGTAATTAGATAACACTTTAGCAATTAGTTAATTGTCTTAGAAAACCCCAGGGTGGGTGTAGGCACAGAGATACTGATGAGGGAGGAGCCTTCTAAAGTTAGACTTCAGCAACCTCACTCACAGATGAAACAGGTCAACAATGAGTGGACAGGTGAGTCCTGGAAACAGAAAGGACAATTCTGCTTTGAAACACCCTATCCTCCCAGGACCAGAAGTAGGTTGCAACTGCCTTCAGACAATGAGGCCCCTTAGCCATCCCCACCCATCTGCAACAGCTAAGGACGGTGTAGAGGCTCCGCCACCACGCTCTGGCAGCCTGGGAGGCTGATGTACAGATGTACCTCAACTCACATAACAGCCATGCTCCTAATGTTGTATATGGACATTTTTATAACTCAACTCATATTCTGACTGTACTTGAGAAGCTGGCTATTTAAAGGAACCCAGAGGTGAATTCTTTTGTAAAGAATCCTTTTGTAATGCAATTATCCCTTAATGTAATTGTTTTGTAAGTTTGGATTTTTGTATACTGGGTTTACCTTAAGCTTCTCTACTGAAGCATTCTGAGCAAGGGTGATAGTATGCCAGACAGCCTTGCCTATCCACACAGTAGACAACCAGTGCACGGCTTCGCAAGTATATTCTGAGGAACTTCGTGGCCAAAACTGTGGACAGGATGCAGCAAGCAGCAGCAGGGACTGAAAGCAGGCTTACTGCTGTCAGCATTACTTGAAATGCCTCCATGATCTGGATAAAGAAAAACAAGGCGTAATTGCTTGTGGTGAGATGATGCAGTCTTCATGTTAAGTGGCAATGGTTGTTTTTATTGGTAGTAATTGAACAGTGTTTTGCAATTAGTGAAACTATGTTGTGTTTTGTAAAAAGATTTCATGAAAGTGGTGGGTCCTTTGAAAAGCCTCCTTCCTGTTCTGCTCCACCTGTTTTCAACTCCCCTTAGGCTCAAAAACACAAAGATCCGCTGTTTTCAGGGAGGGTGGTTATTTTGGCAAAGGAGAAATAGGGGATGCTGCCTCCTCTTGAGGGCTCCTATTTCATGAAATAGGGAAGGCCTTTGTTCTCATCCAAGCTCTGGTGCTGAGACACCTGGAACAGGACCACCTGATTGTATCCCACACCCCAACCCATTTCCCATGGGGGAATTCCTGGAACAGAAAGCACACAGTAAAGCTTGACTGGGTGAGTTGGAACAGGCAGGGCTAGTCGGTTCATGTAAATAATAATGAGTCCCAGAGCACAGATGCCTCCAACAAGAGAGATGTTGGAAAAATGACTAGGGCAGGCAAGTGAGGCAGCCACAGGGACCCAATCAGTTGAGGTCTTCAATATGCCTGGAGGTGACCCTCCACTGTTCATGGATCTTGCTGCTGCACAAACCCTACACAGGAGCTGCTGCTTCTGTGCTGACGAGAGACCCTGGAGGTGAAGCGACTGCCAAGCAATCATTTGGGCAGCAGGCTTCTCAGTGCTGGTGGAGTGACTAGAGCAGTGGAGCTAACAAGCTCTTCCTTGGCATGGATAAAGAATGAAGGGTAAAGAAACTCCTTAGAGCCTCTCTGCCTCCTAACTCGTATTTTTGATAAGCAAACCATAAAATCCAGCCAGTCTAGGAAGGAAATTGTGTTCTAGTCCTCAAAACCACTTCACTGCCTGCACTGTTTAAGTTACTGCTCTCACACACCTATGCTGTCAGTCTAATCCAGGATTCCCCCACTCCTTTTTTAGTTTAGTTCCTAGTTGTTTTATGAAAATAACGTACTTAAAAGTATTTTCTTAAGGTTGGTAAAGAGTGTTTGCATTGTATCTTCATCTTAATGTGTTTGCAATCGCTCCACTCCAGGAAGAACTGAAATGCTGTCTTGTGAGCATGAAGTGAACAGGCTGTTTTGCTCCAGCCACTTTTATTGTACAACCATGTGGATGGACTAGATGTCCTCAGGTCTTTTCCATCTTTAGTTTCTATGACTGTGGAATAAATAAATGTTCAGAGAGAAACTTTGCTTTCACATGTACTGCTGGCATTGTCTTTGGGGATTCAAATGTGGACGTGGTACCAGCCTGCTCCTAACCAGAGACCCACCAATGCTATGATTTATGCTTGTTTCCTTGGTATAGTACAAAGTGGCACAAACTATGCTGAGAAAATTCAGAGTCCAAGCATGAAATAGAAGTTAAATGGCTTCAGCTGAGAAAGACATTCCAGCAATAGCCACATTAAGCAATCTCTGAAAAACTGCCCTGGCCACACCCTCATTTGGTACTTCATAAAAACATTTGCTAAACAGCTTGTATTTATTTGCCAAGTTCTAGAGACACAACAGTGAATCAGATGAGCATGGTCTCCAACCTCACGGACCTTCTCATCATGTCATTTCACAATCTGTAAATAGACAATACTATGATAGCTAATAATTTATTGAGCACTTATTATCTAAATCATGATCTCATTTAATCTTCATTAAAACACCATACCTAGGTACTCGAGACAGGCTAGAGCAGACTGTTAGTTTACAGATGGAAAAACTAAGGGTGAGGGAATTTATAAGTTGCTCACAGTCACATTGCTGGTAAGAGTAGCAGCAGATTGCTAAGTAGGCAGTGCAGTTCAGAACACCGCACCGCATCGTCTGCATTCTGATCATTGCCTTGCAACTTCCCCTTCTCCCTCTAACCCCCCTTAGTTTTTCTGCTATATTGCCCCCAGCGGATGCCTCAGCTTGGTCAGCTCCAGAGGGAGAAGCTGATGTGGTAACCGCACCAGCACTGGGCCACTGAATTCAACACTGTAGCCCCCGGGACTCTCAGAAAGTGTTTTAGGCATCTCTTTTCACTTTCCAGCCCAAGAACTGGTGCAAACCCAGCTGTAAGTCACTCAGCCACCCTGCAGTCTCAGGCATTTCACGGTTTCTGACATTCCAGGAAAGTTTAGCTGCTGGCAAACTTGCCATCCTGAATCTGGATGTGTTCTTCACACGCATTCTTTTGAAATATACCCAAGTTCATTCTCATAAAAATAAAACCCACTATAAACTAATTCACCTGCCAAATTATCTCAAGATGTTTTGCATCATTCAGTCATTCATTTCTCAGATGCTCATTTTGAGTCAGGCTTTGGGCTAAGTGCTGGAAACAGATAAAAAGCAGATTCTGATCCCATGGAGCTCAGCCTAGTGGGAGACGCAAGTTGGCAAAACAATGTGTCTCATACTCTGATAAAGAAGTTGCAGAGTTGGGAAACTGTGCCAATCAAGGAACTTAGGAACATCAAATAAAAAAACATCAATATGAAACAGAAAGCACAAGGTGGTGGCAAACTATGCAGACTGAAGAGAGAAAAGCAGAGGCACGATCACTATGCTAAATTGGATTTGTGTCCCAAAGACTATAGGAACCATAGGATTTTGTGGTATTAAAAATGATAGGATTTTAAGCTGAAGAAGGCTATATTAAAAGATCAGGATCCTAACAGCCAGGTGGAACTCACTGTCATTCATATGCATTTTGTTTGTAAGGCAGTAAGGAAATTAACTTTTTGATGTTTTGAAATGATAGCTATGACATCACTTATCCAGGCTAGGTGGATTTAGAGACAGACAGACATAGATAAACACACATAGCCTAGATTCTAAAGAGGCTGACAGTCTTATTTTTTCCTAGAACTATGAAGAAAATATAGAAGAAAGAAAAATTGACCTCTTGATTTTTTTATTGGCAATAATAAGTATTTTGACCATTTACTGGGTGCCAGGCACTGTGCCAAATGTTTTGCATATATCAAGTCATCCTAACTACAACCCTATAGCTACTATTTTATAGATGAGAAAACTGAAACAGAAAACTGAAGTAACATGCTAATAAGTGGTGGGGCCATACTCATCCAAGCCTGGCTTCATAAGAAATCTGTTTAGCACAATGCCTAGCATCGCAGTAAGAACTCAGCAAACGCCTAAGTGGATTGTGTCAGCAAGAAGAAATCTAAGATCCCTTTGGTTCAATTCTTCTCTAGAGCAAAGTGCTAACAGGAACTCTCAATGATTTGGGGAACAAAAATATAGTCCTAATCTAGGGCCTGGTAAAGAGATACTGCTTCCATTAGAACTATCAAGTATAAACATACTAGGTTTATATGAATTCACAAAGACTTCAAAAAGACTCAGAAAGCCTCTTTTATTACCTCTCTGATGACAAGCACTCTGTTGATACAGGTCTCCATTAGGACCAAAGGAAGCGCAGTGGAGGTTTGATTTTGATTGTCAAATGTTGATTCTGATACTAAACTGAGTGGCCCTGGGACCTGTTTCCTTCTGACATAAAGACATGGTTTGAGGTCCCCTTCAGCTCTCACATCCTAGCTTTCAAATCATTCTCCTCTGTAGATTTCAATAACTTAAAAGTCCTCAGAGCATATATATAGTATATTAATGTAAAACATACGCTGGTTCCAATTTTGTCTATGACTTCCCTCAAAAAAAGGCTAGCCCTGCAATAGAAGAAGCTCTAGCTTTTATGGGTTGCCTCTAACAGAGGCATTAGTTTCAGAATTCACATAATTTCTTTTGCTATTATCACAGAAGAAATTTAGAGCGCAGTCATGTATTTGGGAATAATCTGAATTTGAAGAGTTACTTCAGTATCATGAGGAAAAGTGTTTTCCACTTAGGGGGTGAAAAAAAAAATGAGTAAGGTTTGAATTCATACACTGGTCCCGAAAAGCAGACTTCTGAAGATTTGTTAAAAGCAGCATGGAGTGCAATTAGCTTTACCATACAAACCTATGCTGAGCACTGTGTGTCAAGCCCTGTGCTAGATATAAGAGATTAGATTGTTAAGACATTGTCCTTTCCATGAACTAATTTTAGTAATTATGAAGTATTGTATAAATAAGACCTTAATATCTAATATTAGGAAGAGACCAAACTTGGGCAGCAATCCCCAGAAGGCAAAGCTGACTTTTTGTTTGTGGTGGGACAATCACAGATGTAGGAAATTTGTGAGTTATTTACAAGCCAGGGGTTTCCTACTGCGTAAACCCACTCCAACATACACACAGCTCACCAGTCCTCTACTTATTCTCAGAGAACCTATCTTGCCATGTTGACCAGGTAAACTTTTATGATAAGACCTAGTCAAAACTCTTGTGCCAACCTGCTGGTACACTTGGGTTTATCAATCAACTGACATTCCTCAAGAAAAACCTTAAGCACCAAATTTAAAGGCATTCCACACCAACAAACGATCATGGAAATAGATGAAAACAGCATACAGCTTCCTTCAAGAACTGAGCATCACCACTGCAGTAGGTCTAAAAGGAGATGGGTGATCACTTCTTTGCTGCCCAGAATCCTCCCACAAATACCCACAATAACAAATCACACTCACCACTCAAGCGGCGCACACACGCAGGACTCTGTGCACAGAACTCCTGCCCTCGAAGAACAAAGTACCTGGATCTGGAGAGAGAATAAGAAAAAATAACAAGGAATCCCAATGGAAATTCCTGTGAGACTGTAATAACTAGCAGAAACAACAGAGCACCACTGAGAAAGACCCTTATAGTAGGTGAGAAGGTAAGACCTGAGTCATGTAGTTAAGGCATGTGCCTCAGGATGCATCAACCCTAATTTTGGTCCAAATCACCAAGACAATTTTCAACAAAAGTGAAGGCAAAAAAAAAAAGCAGCAGCCATCCCTACAAGACCTGAAATATTTTTTTTTTTAAAAAAGACTCCACTACTTCTACAATAATCTTTGAAATTGGCATTTATAGGCAGTAAAGACAATCATTTTTAAAAGTTCTAATGATCTAGAGCAGTAATTCTAACTTGGGATTTGTGAAGTTTCAAAATCCCTTAAAGGATCTGAAAAAAAGCTATAAATAATGCATATACAACATAAATAAGATATGGTATATAGTTTTTGGTATCATTAATATACACTTACATGAACAACACTGTGGTTACTAGATGCCCCCCATTATCAAGTCCCCACCACATACCTCATTACAGTCACTATCCATCAGTGTAGTAAGATGTTATAGAATCACTACTTCTCTTCTCTGCTATACTGCCTTCCCTATGCAACCCCCCTACATTACATGTGCTAATCATAATGCCCCTTTTTCCCCTATCCTTCCCTTCCCACCCATCCTCCCCAGTCCATTTTCCTTTGGTAACTGTTAGTCCATTCTTCGGTTCTGTGAATCTGCTGCTGTTTTGTTCCTTCACTTTTTTCTTTGTTCTTATACTCCACAGATGAGTGAAATCATTTAATACTTGTCTTTCTCCACTTGGCTTATTTCACAGAGCATAACACCCTCTAGCTCCATCCATGTTGTTGCAAACTGGTAGGATTTGTTTTTCTTCTTATGACTGAATAATATTCCATTGTGTATATGTACCACATCTTTTTTATCCATTCATCTACTGATGGACACTTAGGTTGCTTCCATTTCTTGGCTATTGTATATAGTGCTGCAAGTAACATAGGGGAGCATATGTCTTTTTCAAACTGGGCTTCTGTATTCTTAGGGTAAATTCCTAGGAGTGGAATTCCTGGGTCAAATGGTATTCCTATTTTTAGTTTTTTGAGGAACTTCCATACTGCTTTCCACAAATGTTGAACTAATTTCCATTCCCACCAGCAGTGTAGGAGGGTTCCCCTTTCTCCACATTCTTGTCAACATTTGTTGTTGTTTGCCTTTTGGATCTTGGCCATCGAACTGGTGTGAGGTGATATCTCATTGTGGTTTTAATTTGCA